CCTTCAGTGGAATAGGTATTATTACTTCTTTCAAAGTTTGGTAGAATTCCCCAGGGAATCCCTCAGGCCCTGACCTCTTGTTTTATGCGAGGAGAGGGGAAGGGAGCTAGAGCTGTGCTTTGCTCCCAGGCTTCTTTTTTCCAAGGCAGGGTTGAGCACCGAGAGTTCCTGAGCCACGGGGAGCAGTGTCGAGTTAGCAGCTCCAGGTAGCAAGAGCTGAGCCGAGAGGTGTCTCCCGCAACGGCCTGTTTCTAACCCCGCTCGGGCGTATGGAACCCGTTCCCCAGGCTTTCGCGCCCGGACACAGAACACTGCTTCCTCCCGCAGTGTTAGCTGAAGCACGGATACTCTACACTGTGTTTGCTACGCGTTCGTAAGCTGGCCATGAGGTTTGCATGCCCATGTCGGGTCGCGGGCCTGGCAACATGAAACAAGTGGGGAGTCGTGTCCCACCTTCTGCCGCCGCCTGAGTCTCACTCCGAGAATGGGTTTGGACTCGCTGGCAGAGCAGGCCCGCAGGCACACAGCAAAACGCTTCCACCCTCAGCAACGGCTATCCTGACTGAAGCCAGGAAGCTCCACAGTGTGGTTCCTCCGAGTCAGGTGGTTGTTTTGCAGCCTGCACTCACACACGGGGCAACGGATCGAGGCCCAGAAACCAGAGCTGAGCCAAGAGGTGGGTCTTCGGCCCCGGCCTTTGTCTGGCTCGGCTGGGCCTTAGGGAGGCCGTTCCCAGAGCTCTCAGCCACAGCACACAGTATTCCGCGTCCTCTAACCCAGTGGCCGGCGGGAGCTCCAGGCACGGTATCTGCACAGATTTCTGCCTTCGAAGGAGGGGCCTGGCACTCAGGGATCCACACGCACCCATGCCGGAGGAGTGCGGGCTTCGTGACACGAGAGCCGGCGCGAGAGGCGCCTCTGCGCGAAGCCGTTTCTCTCGCCCCGTGATTTCGGGGACTCGTTTCCTAAGGCTCTCACGTAGACACACTGAAAGCGTTGCCACCCTCCGGAGCCGTGATGCTGTCTACATCACGGTTCCTCTCCACTGCTCTGAGCTAAAGTTCGGGCACTCTTCGCCCGGATTCTTCAGGCGGAGCGGCCAGGGACCTAGGCCTCCAGGCAGGCCCACTGGGCACAGCAGTGCTAACCGCCTCCCACAAGAGAGGAGTCGAGAGAGCAGCCTTCCTCACAGGCCTGTGTCTCGGTCAGAGTCACGGCTCGGTTCCATTGCTCGTGCTTTCACCCAAACAGCCCACAGGTGAAGTGGGCGATCAGGGAGGGCCTTCT